TAATATTGAAAATTTTCTTAAATATTAAAAGCCTCCAAATCTATATAGCTTTTATAAAATTCTCTTTTACTTCTATGTATTTAGTTTCATACCCTAAGCAAGCTTATTTGATTGGTTATATTCAGAAAAGGATCGATGAAATTAATGAAAATTTTATATTCCACTTTAATTACAAAAATGATTCCTTAAAATTCTATATAATTCATTAAATGAAAATGGCAATTGTTTACTATTGAGATCATTATGATGAGAATTAAAATGATCTTTTATAATTTTATTTAAATTAAGAATTATTTTTTTGTTTTATATCTATAAATCCAATTCTGGCAAAAAGAGAATTTCTTTAATCGAGGATATTCATAATGACAATAACAACCACGATCCTTCTTCTTTATTGACAGGAGTAGAGATGGAAAGTTGTATTTTAGAATTACAAAACTTAATTAGTTGCAAGTTAGAATAATTGGACTTGATTTGAGATAGAGTAAGAGAGTTACTTGAGTTTTTTCAATATCAAGTATAGATGGTTCACCTAGTTTTAAGAAGTTTGCCTGGTAGTAAAGAAGGAAAGGCTCCAAAACTTTAGGATAAATTTATGCTTTTGATCATTGGCAGCTTTAAAAGAATATAATTCAGCAATTTATGGTGATTTGATTCTGATAAAGTTTTTGAAATTTTTAATTATTTTTACTTAATTGATGCTGGTTAATTTATCATATATTGGTATCTTTTTTCTGACATTTCTTAATTGTTGGAAGGGAAGAAGAAAATATGCACTAAATAAATATTATTCATATCTAAAATTGAAACTTTTGTTCTAAATGAGGAGATTTGTATTAGTATAGTATGAAAGTCTTTTCTTCCATGGTAATAGTCATGAAAACTTATTTTGTTGAAAAACAATATTAATAAATAAACTTATAAAAATAATAAGATGGGAATTACATGTTCAAATCAATATTGCTAATAGAAGAAAATCAAGAAAATGATTGAGTAATAAATGATCTATTTATTTTAAGAGATCAATCATTCTAAGCAATTAATAGTGAGAAAAGTTAAGCGTAAAAATACAAATGCTTGTTTTTTGATTCTAATACGAAAAGATGGCTAACGATGGAATTCTAAATTAATTTGGATAAAAGAAATGAAATCATAGATCTAAAAGATGGAAAAATTATACGATTGTAATGTCTATAACCATTATAATAGAAATAAAATGTTCTCTACTTCAAATGATGAAATTTTCAATAATTTAGAATAAATAAAATATCAAGAATGGGTTGGAAAGTACAATAAAAATAGACAGAAAATTGGTAAATGGAGAGTTCAATGGAATGGATAAATTCTTTAAACTGTTGAAGGATATTACTCAGAAATTGGTGAAAAGATAGGTTTATGGAAAGAATTATTTTAAAATTACTGTAGGTAAATGTTAACTACTAAAAGCATTAGTTTGGTTCTTGTATTTGCAGAAGGAGAATATTAAAGGGGAAATAAATAAGGTATGTGGAAATAGATCAACTAGAATAATGTGATGTATTTTGTAATAAA